GAGAGACGACTCACCTCCAGTTAGTATAATAGTGACTGCAATTCTAAGGATACTTTCCTGGGAGTAAACCCTGTTGATTGAAATATTACTTACTTCTGAGCTTGCTTTCTGAGTAAACTAAGAGCATACTCATTCTCCATATTTTGTCTTGAAAATGGCCAGAAACCTAGTTTACTAATCTCATGTGACACACAAAGATGATTTGGGCTTAACTGCTGCACTTCCCTATGGAAGTCTTCAATTGGTCATTGTACTCCAAAAGGCAGCGTAAAATAAAAATAATTGCCAAAGGGAATATGAAAAGGGTATAAAAGAGAATTCTGTTCACATAGTGAACTTGCCAAAATCTAGCTAATACATCCAAAATCTAGCTAATACTTTCAGAAATATTTGGTATCAGCTCCGTTACCAAAATATTCTTCTCGGGTGAGGGGTAATTTTTTCCTTCTAATACACTTGCTCAACTCTTTTGGATCTAGAAACAATTGTGGATCTTTGTTCTCTCTGTCGACTAGAAACATTACCAGTTCAACTTGTTCTCCTACTTTATTGGTAGGCGGTCTCCACTGTATCCTTGTAGTTTTACATTTTTACTTTCAATCCCTCGTAATTTCACAGTTATATGAACATCCAAAATGACACTCTGCCTTGTCACCATTTTATGACATAGTCGATAAGTGTTCCATCAGTTCCTACTACCATTGTCCATGAACTCCTTTCCGTTTATTCAGCCTCTTTATCCACATCAAATTCTTCTTCAGTGTTGCCTCCACTGTTGTCCTGCTGTACCTCATTAGCCTGCACAGAGTTTTCTGTCTTATACTTGTTGCTTCTGATTGTAGACTAGCAGGATAATTGTACCTCTTGCACAAATTGTGGTATTTCCCCAATGCAAGACAATGTGGTGTGGACTATGAATCTGCAGCTTGTGCCTTTCGTTACATTATTTCTTGGTTCTTTTGCTGCTCTCTTGTACCTTGCGTGGGTTTTTTTTGGCAGCTGGCTACTCTGTCTAAAATAATACCTCTATTATTTTTACCTTGGTGCAGGTAATCTCAGCTACTTGGTACATTTTAACGAAACTTTTTCATTTTATAACCCGCCTTTCCTGCACAGGAAGGGGGTAATCTTAGCTACTTGGTACATTTTAGCGAAACTTTTTCAATTTATAACCCGCCTTTCCTGCACAGGAAGGCTCAAGGCTCAACTTGGGACTATAGAGCCAATCACAATCTGACCTTTTGGGAGGAATGGCTCAGAGTTGCAACTCATAAAATACCATTCAAATGAGCCTCCTTTTCTCTGAGTCCTCTCCCAAAACTTGTACCTCTCAAATGTTTCACTTTCCTTTGGAATGCAAAGCTCCTCAGACTTCCGCATGATTATGTGATTCCTCAGATGAGCAAACTATATATTATATGGAAGATCTGTAATTGGATTTCTGGATGCTTTCTTATTACTAAAAAGCATAGCAGAGGGGATTAGATGTGGCCTACGAAAACTGGGGGATTTGGTGGGGGTTTAAGCCATTTCCTTAGCACTCTTTTTTCAATAGAAATTTTGTCCCCTAAAAGAGTTACTCACTGTGGCAGCAGTGGGAGACAGGGACCTATATGGTTTCCCCTCCGCTATGGATGGTGGTTAGCAGGGCTATTTTGAGGCAGGAACGCACAGGAACGGAGTTCCAGCTGGCTTCAGAGTTGGCCACGCCCACTACAGCCAAAACCTCTGTGTGCATTGTTACAGAGGGGAGGCCTGGAGAGCGACCCCCCAGTGACTCCAAGTGGGCCAGGGACCCCCTGAAAGGATCGGGGAGGCATTTAAATGCCTCCCTGTGCCTTCCCCGGCCTGTCCAAGGGTTGGCTTGCCCGGGCTCCCCGCAGCCTGGGGCACCCAGGCAAGCATGGATAGGGTGCGTTCAGACGAGGCATTTGAGCTGGTATACGAGCCGGTTAGAATCAGAGTACTGACGCGCGATCACACAGCCAACATCTGCCTTCCGTCCCTAACCGTTGCAAACACCCTTTAAACCGGTGTATTCTGCTACTGGATCCCCAAGTGGTGGTATCCTGAGTGCTCCCATTCTAGCCATATTATCCCCGTCTGATTGCTCTCCGGTGGTGTAGAGCCACATCCGTTCGGAAGCCCGAGGCTTCTGCTTTTCGGACACCATTTATTTTTAGCCTCCTCGATGTGCACTTGGGCGAAACTTCGCCCCGACATTTGTAAAACAAACAAAAAAAAAAAAAGATGCTTAGTTTGTATTGACATGTTAAGGTGCAAAAAAACTTAATTTAGCGTTAAGTCGGCTACTTAACAAAGAGTCAGAGAGTGATTTCAGGTAACGATTCAGCTTTATTGAGCAACCCGAAATACAACCATAGAATAACCAGAACAGCTTTTGCATTGTAGCTGTGCTTCTTTTAAACTCTCCCAGCTAATGTAGCCACGCCCTACTGTACATTACAACCAATAGGATTGTCAAGATAAAGTCCAATCACAGACGTTCCCGCTCAGGGAACTGGATGGTAGGTGATTGGTTGGCTCTTCCTGGGCTACCAATAGGGATTGAATGATTAGGATCCTTGCCCAGGACAAAGCTTTACATGGTGTTTCAATTAGTGATTTCAAACACAATTTTCCATTGCATTGAATACACCACATTTAGTTTGGTGAGGAAATAGTCAAGAGATACTTAATGGTTAAGATTCTCCCAGTCTATGTTTTGTTTGTAGTTTTGTCTTTGTTGTGTTTGTTATAAAATAATTTTTTTTAAAGAAACATGATGAAGATTTTATTTTGGAAGAGGTGCAATGTTTTAAAACTGTGCTATGTTTTACAATAGTTGTGTTTTACTGTTTTATTGATATTTTCTTTGTTCCATGAATCTCAGTGTTAAGAAACATTACTACTATTACCTCTATGACCTGGCTTTCATTCTTCTTGTGTGATTTGTAAAACGCTCAAGAGCAAATCTAATTTATAGTTTGCTGCAAAATGGAACTTTGTTTTCCAGTTTATCTTTCCCTAAGATCTAAGTCTCTTTTATCGGAAAAGTATTACAGTAAACACAGAATTATTATGGGAAGTTTCCAGTTATCCAGATTTTATTGTTACAATGAGGTAAATGGTAAGATAAAATGGATAAGCATTTTAAAGCATGCAACGTGGCAAATTAACGATACTGTTAAATGTCAGTCTTTATTAGAAGCTAGTATTATTATAAATCTGTGTACTTCAAGACATATTTTCATTTGTATAGTATTTACTAGTCAGTAAAAGGGCTCTTAGAATTCCTGAACATTTTTAATTTATTAATTAATGTATTTGATTTATACCCCACCCTTCCCACCAAAGCAGGCTTTAGTCTACCATATTTAAAATGTTAAAATGTTATAATCATGGAATATATTCAGTGATCAATATTTGAGAAACTTGTCCCAGTACTGCAGGGTTAGTTTGGTTTTGTTTAAAACAGCACACAGGATCAAAATACTTTTGTTTTGAGTCGGGCAGCCATGTTTTCTGGTGTAGGAAACAAAAAGGAATCTTAGGGCACCTTCAGGACTAGCAGATTTATTGCAGCACGACCTTGAAGGTTCCATATGCAACTGACATTCCAACTGCCTTGCGGGGAGGGGGGTGAGTTTGAGGTGTGGAATGCAGTGAAGTCCAATCAGCTTCCATATGCAAAAGACCTTGAAACACTGGGCAGGACCGCACAAAGCAGCCAGTCAACCCAGCCAGTGTCTTCTGACTGACAGTTCAAGCGTCCATACACTAAAGGAGTGCATTTTAGAACTTTGGCACCCACTATTCAATTATATATAAGGAGAGATAAGACTACAAATGCCAGACAGAGCTTGGAGTATCAAATCAGCAGAGGGCCGCAGCAACATGGGAGGAATGTGATCACCATGGAGTGTGCCTGTCATTGCCACCCAAGACCTACCCCACTGCCTCTCAGCTCCAAGACAGGCTGTGGTACACTCTCTCTGAGTCCACCCGACCCTTGCACCTGCTGGGGGCAGCATGGGATGAAGTGCCCCGCCACTGAGGTCCAAGGTGGGTTGCACAGCTGGTGGGCATCTAGACTTCCCTGCTCACTTTGCAGCTCTGACATTTCTGTCTCATTTCCTCCCTGCATCACCCTACAGATGCTACAAATTACCCCCCCCGGGGGGTATAGTAGGACGATGCTTGCATTGATCTAACCTAAAGCGTCTACTAAATAGTTTAAGAGGTGCACCAAGCCTCCTTTTCATTTTTGTACGAAGGAAAAACAACACCTAGGAAATACCAACCAAAGTGTCACCAACACATGAACAGGGTTTTGAGTTCCATACACTTTGTCAGGTTTGATACTTTGTACAAGGAAGGAAGGAAGGAAGGAAGGAAGGAAGGAAGGAAGGAAGGAAGGAAGGAGCTGCCCTTTAGTGGCTTGGGGCCATGGTACTTGAAAGACTGACTCCCCCGCCACTGTCCAGCCTGCCAGCTAAGATCTTTCTTACCAGCCCTGCTGTCTGTGCCCTTCCCTTCAGAGGTGAGATGGGTGGTGTAGTGGCAAGGCCTTTCTCCTTGAGGCATGCCTTTCGTGGACCCAGGGAACCAAGTACAATCTTTATTTGTAGAAGAGCACACATTAGTTAACTCTTACTTGAAAGTACCGAACTTGATTGACCTGCTGCTTGCCTTTCTGTGTGGAACAAAATTCTCCCTCCCTCGCCGTCGCGGAAACTTGTCCTCCTATACTTTCTTCCCTGGTTGGAACGGCAGACCTGCCTAGGAGGATCAGAGGCAAGAGGCGGAGCTCCTCTCTTACCCGTTTGCCGCCGCGGTGTGGGTGGCTCCGTGTTATAGAAGCCGCGGCGTCAAGCGTCTGTTGCTATGGGGGGGGGGGGTCAGGGTGGGATGCACCGCGCAGCAGGGAGCGCCAAGGCACGGGGCGTTTAGCACCTCAAGGAAGAAATTCCTCCACTTCTTCGGGGGAAGCAGGAGCGATGGACGGCTTTGCAGAGGAGCAGGTGATGGAGGAGGAAGAGTGCTGTGACTTTGAGCCTCTGCCCACACTCTTGGAGGACGAGGTGAGGGGGGGGGGGGGAGGGAGAGAGGGAGGGACTCTTGGGGGACGAGGGGAGGGGGGGGGGGAGAGAGAGAGAGAGAGAGACAAAATGTTGCTCTTCCCGCCAACCACACAACTCGGCAATTCTTGCCGTTTCCTTGGCTAATCTTGGCCGCCTCCTTCCCAAACTTCTTTCGCTCGGCTGCTGCTGGGTTTGTGTCGCGCTGGCTGCTCTGTCAGACCGCAGTTCAAAGGGGCGCTCTAGCAAGGACTGAGTGGGCCGCCTTCCTGTCCCGGGGGAGAGAGTTGGGCGGGCAGCCTCGCAGTGTTATGGAATGCAGCCTAGAAACCAGCTTTCTTCGAGGTTTGCCAACAGTTGGGGATGAACCGCATGAAAAATGGCTAACAGCTGATTGTCAGCGCCAATGGTTGATCTCCGTTCATTTTCTTTGAGCTTATATCCTAGTTGCCTTACAACTTTTAAAAAAGAAGTAGAGTTGCCCTTCTGATAATGAGACTGAAAGATGAACAGTCCTGTGCAGCCACACCGCAAGGCAGGTAGAGAGAGCCTGCGTTGCTAATTATGCATACTCGGAGGAATACTGGGAAGTAAGTCCCATGTTATTCAATGGGGCTAACTCCCAGGAAAGAGTTGTTAGATTGTAACCTCAGTGAGACTGATGTGGTCCCAGAGTTAAGCACACCAACTTCCTCTTGATTTTAATGCACGAGTGATTCCTTTGCTCAAGTCAATGGGATTTTATTTTTATTTTTTTCGAGTGCTTTTCGAGTGCTTTTGGTTTGGCTAGATTATGTATGAGGTTGCTAGTCGGCCAGGAAAAAAGAATGTCCTGTCCTTATAGCAGAGATTTAACGAATGGCAATGGCCAGTAGGTGTTTCTCATGGTATAAAGTTAAATAACATCACCGGGTATTTGCTGCAGAGCAAACTGATATTAAAGTGACAGCTAGAAGGAAGCAATTTAAAAGCTGGTGACACTGATTATGTCCATGTTTAGGATTGGGCTGGAATTCTAGTAGCCATCAAAATTATGGACATCTAACTTATTTATTTATTTATTTTATTCAACTTATATCCTGCTCTTTTCTCTGCGAGCATGGCTCAGGGATTTTAAAGTGCATTTAGATTCTTGCATGTGTTTGCAATCCATGCTGGGATTAAATCATATAGAAAAGAAACTGCCATTCTGAAAATGTACCTGTAGTGCCACTATTCTTTCTCATGTAAGGCCTTCTAGTACAACAGAAGGAACTCGTCAGGCTGGGAACTTGTACTCTCCCCCTCCCAGCAAATCATGTTTTATAGGTATGTGTATTTTGATTCCAATCAAAGCCTTATCCTTTAACAGGGAGTTTGCTATCAGCATAAGATTTGGCTGTAAGAGTACAAACTCCTTATTAAAGTAAAGAGGAATAAGCTTAGCATATTAGATAGTGCCCTAAAAATTTACTCAAACTAGAAAGAACAAACTTTAAAAATGTGTTTCCATCTGTCTAGAAGAAAAACCATCCTTCTGCTTGCCAGTTTGGTGTAGTGGTTAAGTGTGTGGACTCTAATCTGGGAGAACCGGGTTTGATTCCCCACTCCTCCACTTGCACCTGGCTGGATGACCTTAGGCAAGCCATAGTTCTGATAAGAGCTGTCCTTGAAAAAGTGCAGTTTCTGTCAGAGCTCTCTCAGCCCCACCTACCTCATAGGGTGTCTGTTGTGGGGAGGGGAAGGGAAAGGAGTTTGTAAGCCGCTCTGAGACACCTTTGGGTAGTGAAGGGCGGGGTATAAATCCAATCTCTTCTTCTTCTTCTTCTTCTTCCCAGTGGCTAAACTGGCAGTTTCTCCCCTTCCCCCCTTCATGCTGGAGACTCCCTGCATCTCAATTCATCTCAGTTTCATTATACCTTTTCCTGTCTTCTGAACAGGGTCAACAGAGAGCCAGCTTGGTGTAGTGGTTAAGAGCGGGCAGTTTTATTCCCCACTCTTCCACGTAAAGCCAGTTGGGTGACCTTGGGCCAGTCACAGTTCTCCCAGAACTCTCTCAGCCCCACCTGCCTCCCAAGGTGCCTGTTACGGGAAGAGGAGGGAAGGACAATTGTAAGTCACTCCAGGACTCTTTCGGGTAGTGAAAGGGTGGTGTATACAGCTAACTCTTCTTCTTCTTATATTACTTAGAAGTTCTGTTGAAACATGTAGTACACTGTTAGAAAGTCAATGTGTTCTAGGAGTACGCTGCCAAAAGGCACTGAAACAATAACTTTCTGTTGAGTATTGTGGTTAGTGCTGAGAATAGGTTAAACAAGAGTTACTTTAGCCATATTGTCATGGCATTAATATTAGTCAAGAATGAGTCCTGACCAGTGTTCCCTCTAAGCTGAGTTAGTGTGAGCTAGCTCACAGTTTTTTAGCCTCTGGCTCACACATTTTTGTCTTAGCTCAGGAAGGAGGGCTCCAGAGCAAAGTAATGTATGCTGGCGCCAACTCGCTCACTCACAACTTTAATGCCAGTAGCTCACGAAGTAGAATTTTTGCTCACAAGACTCCACAGCTTAGAGGGAACATTGGTCCTGACCAAAAACCTGAAATCCTTGAATTCTGTTTACTGTTTCTCCAATGGGTGGTCTGTATAGTTTATGGCTGGTGTATTCGGTGGTAAGTTTCATTGGTTAGGTATTGCTGACTATGTTAGTTTGTGTATAGTATAGCTAGTTTTAATCTGAGTAATGTTGTATTATTCTGTATTTTGTATTATATCAGTTTATTAGATTTCCTGTGTAATAATTATTGCATAACATTTATAGTGACTTGCGTTATGATTTGTTCGTTTATTTAAAAAAATCAAAAAAAAAATAAAAAAAATAATGAGTCCTGGTAGTGAATATTTTTTTGAATTGTTTTGTTTGACTGTGTCCCACTTTTTTGTTACAATCATATATACAATCATATATATAGTCCTCCTGGGATCAAATGGTAATGCTTTGTGTGATTCTCTCCCCCCCCCATATATATTTGCTGTTAGTAACTAGACCTGCCACGGTAGGGAGAAAGTGGTGGGGCTATGCCACTTTCCTCTGCTGTTGAGAACTGTGCCATCAAAACTGTGTGCTATTTTGTTGACAGTCTTCCTTAGCAACCGTTCTGGATGGAAGTGCCATTTAGAGTGTGGAGATTCGACTAGAAAATACTGAAAAGAGAACACCACAGACCATGGTCACTAAAGAACAAAGGCGGAGGTGGGCTAAGAGTAGGACAAAGGAAGGCTACCATAAAGATTCTGTGTGTGAAGATAAGTTATTTGAGGGTCAAACTAGCTGTGACAGCATCCATCACTCTGACCATTTTAAAGCTATTTTAAAATGCTGTGAGGGCCTAATCATGCCCACAGCATGGCAGCCCGAGGCACTCTGGTTTTCCCCACACTCACACCTTTTCAAGTGCCAAAACAGCTGTGGGTGATAGCCATTGCAGCACTTGAAAAAGTGGGGGGGGGAGGGGACAAGAGCACCTAAGCCAGCTGTGCTGCGGGCCCGATCATGATTGGACCCTCACAACATTTTAAAATTGCTTTTTAAATGGTGGTGGCATCTACGGGCCAGGATCGTGGATACTGTCATGTCTAGTTTGGCCCGTAGAAGGCCTTGACATTGCTGGAGATAAGTCGGAGTTATGTCTATAAGATTATAATTGACACAGTTGGCTAGAAATAATGTCGTGGAATGTGGAGTAATTCATGAATTCATGTTTTGGCAGGAGAATGTGTCTCTTGCTGATGTTTTGTCACTGCAGGACGGCTGTCTTACCGAGCAAGATATCTGGGCAATTTGCCTGGAGTGCTGCCAGTCTGTGAAGAACATTGCCCATTCTGCAATCTTCCAAACACTTTGCATTACTCCTGACACTTTGGCTTTTAACACCAATGGCAATGTATGCTTCATGGAACAGATCAGTGGTAAGTATTTATGCTTCTAGGCAATTTGTTGAAACATACAAAAACTCATGCTGAGGGGATGTAGTGAAACATTATATTCTCTCCATCAGACTTGTACATGGATTTTAATTAGATTGGAAACCATAATTTCTTGATGCAAGGATGAATGTTGTCCTGTGCAGAACTAAATTAGGTTAGATCTACTAACACTGTGTGCTCATTTAGTTGTTACAATATTGAACAAAGATTTCTAGCTCAAATTTAATAAGTTTTTGGATTCAATTCTGTGGTCTAGCCAGCATCTTCCAGAGGATATGCTCTGTGAAAGCTGTCATACACTTGTCTGAATGTGCCTTAAATATAAAGAAATTTGACAGCTGTGAAAGGATGTGATAGATTTTGATAAAGCTGCTGGATTTTATTTTTTATTTTTTAAATCTTGAATCTTCTTCCAGAAGTGACCCCTCCAAGTCAGCAGAAATTATCCCACAAGTAGGTATGGGAAAGATAGAGATCATTTTAAAAGATTTGAATGATATTTGAGGACATTGGTAGCTGACTCATAGGTACCTCTGGGGTATGGCTTATTTATGACCTACTTCAGCCTGTGGGCATCTTTGTAATTATGATACAGAATACTGGGCACAACCACAGAATGGCTGCTGCAGGAAGCAGAGCCAAACACAGACAAAGGAAACCCAAGTGCAGGGGGCAAGATGAGTGGCAGCTGCCTTAGAAACAATGTTATTTTAATCTGTGAAGGCAATCAGCTTTCCAGTGGCCAATCAAAAACCCTGCTGGGCAAAAGCCCCATCCACTGTCTATAAACACTGGGGTGGCACCTGAAAAAGTGCTGGTGGATGCATGGTCTGCATTTATTGGTGTGGTATGAGCTAAGAATGGAGAGTTAGGTTAAGAGAGAAAATAGGAATGGGGAAGGGTTCTTCCAATTTATTTTGACCGCAGGATGCAGGAACAGTATTCCTGTTGCAATAGAGGGTGAAGCAGGAGAGTTTCGGAGGAAACAGCAGCCTTGCATGGAGTTGGCAGCTGATCATATCTCCCCAGCCAACAGCTTGGGGGAAGAGGACCATGACCATCGTGTTGGTACAGCCTCAAATGCTAATCAGTCCAGGAACTGAGATTCTAGATAAAATAGATCAACAGCAACTTTGGTTCATGTACAAGTATGAATGGGATGGAATGTGTGCAATAGTAGTGACATGGACAACTGCATATAAGAGTGAGAATCCAAGGAGGAAGGAGATGAGGACAAACATAAGTACCCCCTTCTTACCTTCTGAGGCCTTAGGCAGCAGGTTGATACAGTTGTATGCAGTGTTCCCTCTAAGCTGAGTTAGTGTGAGCTAGCTCAGTTTTTTAGCCTCCGGCTCACACATTTTTGCCATAGCTCAGGAAGGATGGCTCCAGAGCAAACTAATGTATGCAGTAGCCAAATTGCTCACTCACAACTTTAATGCCAGTAGCTCACAACGTAGAATTTTTGCTCACAAGACTCCACAGTTTAGAGGGAACATTGGTTGTATGGGCTCTACTGGGGTAGGGGGTGAGACACATTTCTTCCCGTCTTATGGAACTATATTAGCCTTGCGAATATTAACTATTTCGTCTTGTGTACAGAATATTTCTTTTAAAAATAGTATGTTCAGTTCCCCAATGGGAAATAAGATAAACAGGGGCTGGTAACTGTTTGTTTGTTTTTTCCTTACAAACTAGTAGATTTCTCTTTCTTTCTTTTTTTAAAGCCTCCGGAGGGGATTTTTTTATTATTTTGCAAACTACAAAAAACTATCACAGAAAACAGGGAGGGGGACTACATATACAGGATAAAGAAAAGAAACCCACTACTAACTAAAAACCCAAGAGAGGAGATCTTCATTAGCTTAGTTACAATAAAACCTCCCTTCATTTAAGCATAAAATAAACTGAGTCAATCCTTCGTAATACTTTTTCTTTTCTATAATTCTTACATCTCCACTGTCTAAGGACAATACCCCCAAATCATCCCTTTTCATCGTTCTCCAAGGCACAATTCAGAGTCCTTCAGCCTTTACTTCTCTTTTTCCCATCTTTTCCGCATCTTGTAAGGACTTTTTGGGGTAGCTGCCCCCTTTTCAGACAGAGAGTCCTCTCCGGAAGAAACAGAGTCCAGCTCGCCATTAGACTTGCTGACCTCTTCTTTTTGCTCATCCTCTGATCTTCCCAGCTGAGTCTTTAAAAATTTTTTGGCCTTTGTAACAGAGTCAATCTTTTCTTTTTTATCTTTAATCTTGAAAGTGACTCCCTCTGGAAACAACCATTTCTCAAACTAGTAGATTTTTCATACATAGCTGTCAAGTTATAGCACATTAGATTTAGTGACATCCATGGATTGTAGTTTATTAAACATCTGTAAGTTCCAACCACTAGCTTACAAAATGAGATTTAGTGGCCTTAATATGGATTCACTGTCCCCTGAGCATCAGCTCAAAGTCCCTGCAGTAGGTGTAAAGTAAAGGTAAAGGTTCCCTTGCTCGAAAGCCAGTCGAATCTGACTCTAGGGTTGTGGTGCTCATCTCCGTTTCAAAGCCGAAGAGCTGTCCGATGACGTTTCCGTGGTCATGTGGCCGGCATGACTAAACACCAAGGCGCACGGAACACTGTTACCTTCCCACTGAAGCGGTACCTATTTATCTACTTGCAATTTCTTGCTTTCGAACTGCTAGGTTGGCAGGAGCTGGAACTAGAGACGGGAGCTCACTCCATCATGCGGCACACTCGGGTCTCGAACTGCTGAACTACTGACCTTCCACAGCCTGCAGTTCAGCACCTTAACCACTTAAGCCACCGCAGCTCCATATATATGTTAGTTTGCTAGATGTTATGCAGGAGTGGGGGTTGTACATTTGAAGAGAGCTAGCTTTTTAAAATAAAAACTACTTGGTGATCTCTATGTGTTTTCTCGACTTCTGAATATTTCATTTGTAGTTCAAAGAGCTGAGAGTGTTTTCCTGTAGCAGATGCATAATTTTACTGCCAGTTGCGAGATGATAATTAGGCTGTAAGCTTTAATTGATTAACTGGTGAAGCCAATTGATTAAAGTGTTAACTTGCTATTAAAATAATCTGAGGAGTTCTTTAAATATTCCAGGATTTAGAACAATTGATACAGCAAGAGCTTTATAGAAAAATGAGCCATTCCCCTCCCCCGCCCCCCCATGAGCTGTTTTAGGTGCTTCTCCATGGTGCCGCAGGAGTGGAGTGGTACCAGCCTAGTCATAACAGTGACTCAGCAAAAATTTATCTTATAGTTTAGGGTGATAGTAATGATGGTGGTAGGGGATCTGGACTTTCAACCTTTTATTCTACTCAGAGTATTTAGCCACATTGAAGGCCAATGAGGTTCATGAGCAGGATAGAGATTTTTTGTAGATACATAATCTGGTCTTCTTGTGTAGACTGGACTGATGTGAAAAACACAGTCTGGCTTTGTCCCATTTGGAAATACTTTTTTCAGATAATTTTTTTTTTAAATCTTTTTTTTCACAGCAGTTTTCTTATTTGTTTGGGTACAGCTTTCTTGCTAATTCTTGATTTGCTGTCTAGATACTATGCTCTCTCTCCTCTTCCTACAGCTGTGCATGGGGATAGTTTCAAATTGCTGTACGTGGTTGGTCGGAACTCAGACATAGCTAAGGGTTAGCCCATCTCTCCCTTATAATAATTGAATAGCAACGTTCTAAATTTGGCCCCTTTAGTGTTAGGCCGGAAGAACTGCCACTCAGAAGACACTGGCTGGGTTGACTGGCTGCTTTATGCAGTCCCGCCCAGCGTTCCAAGGTCATTTGCATGTGGAAGCTGATTGGACTTCACTCCATTCCACACCTCAAACTCACCCCCCCCGGCAAGGCAGTTGGAATTTTCAGTTGCATAACATACCTCATAGGGGAGAGGAGAATGATGTCAGCTGCCCTTTCCCTAGGCAGAGGCTGTGGGGTGTGTGTGTAAAACAAGACAGACAGGCAGATTAAGGTTGGCTGATGGTTGCCAGGAAAGGACATAGGGTTGCCAACTCCAGGTTGGAAACTTCCAGGATATTTTAGGGATGAAGCCTGTTGAGGGTGGGGTCTGAGGAGGAGGAGGAAGAGGGGGACCTCAGACAGATACAATGCCATACTGCCCACACTCCAGACAAGCTGTTGCCAGTCTCCAGGTGACAGCTGGAGAGATCTTAAAGCTTTGGTGCTACTTCAAAGTTCCCCAGGAGCCCAAAACAGAGTAGTGTTTTGGAAAATCTTGAGGAATTGTTTGGTGCATTTACGATGGGGCTCCTGGGGAACTATTGTTGCCAATCTTGGCCCAGCAGCCATCAAACCATTCTCTTCAACCCCCTGCTGTGCAGCTGACTTCCCCCTAGGGTTGCCAATCTCCAGGTGGGACCTGGAGATCTCCCACTGCTACAATTGATCTCCAGATGACAGAGATCAGTTCCCCTGGAGAAAATGGATGCTTTGGAGGGTAGACCCTATGACATTATACCTGCTGAGTCCTTCCGCCCCCCCCCGCCCAATGCTGCCCTCTACAGAATCCACCCCCCAAACCTCCAGGTATTTCCCTCCTTAGAGCTGGCAACCCTACATTCCCCTCAGTGCCTGTTGGGAGTGGGTGGTGGGGGAGGGGAAGGGAGTGGGCGACCGGAGGCTTCTGCCTCCTGTCTCCGGTCCTGGAGTGGGGGTGGTGGGGGCCAGTCCTGATAGGGTTGCCAACTCCAGATGGGAAATTCCTGGAGATTTGAGGGATGGAGCCTGAAGAGGGTGAGGTTTGAGGAGGGGTGGGACCTCAGACAGGTACACTGCCATAGACTCCACCCTCCAATCCAGTCAGTCCCACGTAGGGAACCATTGTTGCCAATCTCCAGGTGAGGGCTGGAGAGCACTCAGAATTACAACTGTTCTGCAGAAGGGAGGGCAGAAGTCAGCTGAAGTCAAAGGGGCAGATAATGGTAGGTTGATGGTTAGCTGGGAAGGAGATGGGGTTGCCAACTACATGCTGACAAATTCCTGGGGATTTGAGGGGTGGAGCCTGGAGAGGGTGGGGTTTGCAGAGGGGTGGGACCTCAGACAGGTAGAATGCCATAGACTACACCCTCCAAACCAGCCACTTTGTCCTGGGTAACAATTGCTGCCAATCTCCAGGTGAGGGCTACAGATCACTCACAATTACAACTGCTCTTCAGGTAGCAGAGATCAGTTCCTCTGGAGAAAACAGTGGACTCTGTCATTATACCCTGCTGAGGTCACCACAGCAAATTGACACTGTTTGCCCAAAGCCAGAGCACTGCCCCAGAGCCTCTTTCTAGATCTCGTTGTATTGCTTTCACAACGGGCTTTACTGCTAGTAGGTTATAAAATAAGCCTTGGTTTCCCTAGGTTTCTTTCCCCTTCAATCTCTTTAAGTTTGTCATTGCCGAATTAATTGGAGGGGCATACTTCTCAATACCTTCAGTCCTGTTTGTGGCACCCTATTGACATCTAAGACCAAAACTTTGAAGAAGTCTTACACATAACTAGAGTTCCTCCATTTTTCAGTTACTAGGGTTCTGTATGCCCTGTTTCCCACATGACTTGAACCACGTGGCCTTATTTATAAATCAGTTTAACCAGGCCTGACTGCTGTTTTCATATAAGTTGTCTGTTATAAGTTTCCATCTTGTGTATAGCTCTGGTTATTTTTATATGCAAGAAAAAAGACTGACAAATTATGCTGCTCTTGATAAGTGGTGTGGAATGTTAACAGTACTAAAACTTAAACTGATCTTCAACATGACTGTGCTAGGAGGATATATTGTTTCATTGATGTGAAAAGGCTGTCTTGCTGTATGGGAGAGAAAGGGATTGGCTAGAGATTTTGATCCCAGTCAGCAAGAAAGATGCTAAACAAATTGAACTAATGATTCCAGTGCTGCGGCCTTTGAGTTCTCTAGCAACCTTTATAATGGTTATTTCATTTCATTTCATTTCATGCTTTAAAAAAATCTAATCTTTATATATTTAACAATGATACCAGAATTACAAGAAGTTCATTGACAGTGTCTTTTTGTGTTGCATTTAACTCTGATGTAATTGCTGAAATGAGAAGAGGAAAGTATTTGTGAATTGCACTATGGTGAATTGCATTGTGCTGATATTCTCTTACTAACATGTCAGTGTTCTCATCTGTGATTTATGAACTAGGGTTGCCAGCTTCGGGCTGGGAAATACCTGGAGATTTTGGGGGGGTGGAGTCTAAGGAGGGTGGGGTTTGGGGAGAGACTTCAATGGGGTGTAATGTCATAGAGTCCACCTTCCAAAGCTGCCCTTTTCTCCAGGTGAACTGATCTCTATGGCCTGGAGATCAGTTGTAATAGCGGGAGATATCCATCACCTGGAGGTTGGCAACCCCAGAACTGTGCATATCTGAAAAATATTATGAAGGTATCTTCATTGCATTGTTCCATGGATGGATAGGGTTGCCAGGTCCCCTTGTTGCTTTGGTGGAGAGATTTGGGGGGCATTCCGGGGGTGGGTGGGCATTACATGCAGGAACGCTCTGGTATTTGGGTCTAGTGGATGGCTTGAAATGGGTCACAGATCAGTCTGGATTTAAGTCAATTTCACTAAATTTAATATGTTGATAAAGTAGTATTCCAATGCTTTGACAGCACTACAGCTGGCTATAATGTTCGTCCATTTAAGCTTTGGTGCTTAAAGCAGAGCTGACGTGGGCTAAAATATTTGCTGAATATTTACTCCAAATTATTGTGAATATCTGTTATTTTGAATGTTTACCATTGTTTGTCCAATGTTTTGCTGGTTCAGTGTTATTTCTCTCCCTTCCACCACCTTCTTAGATACATTATTTCAGCCAACAGAATCATATCATTATGCTGGACAGTGAATGCTTACTTAGAATGAGGGAGTACTTTCTGGACTGACTCCATTGGTCAAGAGCACAGAGGGCATACTAAGCCTATTCAGATGACTAACATTTTAGTATCAGTTTTCACTACTAAAACAGCATTAAAACAACATTAAGCAGCCTGTAATGATACCCAAAAGTAGCTCAGGAAGACTATAGAACATCTTAAAGGAAGTGAAGCCTTTCAGTTAAAAGAGAAATGGAGGAAAATAACATTATTTTTAAAAAAGTTGAGCCAGGTTTGACCTGGCTCCCAGAAGACAGTAAAATAGGTGCCCAGTAAACCACAAAGGATGAGGTGCCACCACTGGGAGAAGCCTTGTCTCTGTTTGCCAGTTGTCACCTGTCTAACCTCTGCAGGTAGGTGCACAGAAAGCATAGGCTTGGTAAGAGGATCTTAACTGGTGGGCTGCGGAGTGCTGGAGAAGATGGTCCTTGAAGTACCCTGACCCCAACCCATTTAGGGCCTTAAAGCTAAAAACAGCATTTTGGTGAATTCCATCAATTAATTCTGCCTCAATTGGCCCAAGTTTACATTTAGAATTTAGTCTTTGTATTATGAGAATATGGTTGGCAGACCAGATATCAGTAGTCAGTCAAACATTTATTTGCAGTGATACTTACAGGGTCAAATATGATCATATTTTATCTCTAGAACTGCACATGTGGCAATCAGGTGGAGGCCTTGGTGTTCTTCCACTTATGTTCCTTCCTTCCGTCCCTTTATGATGGAAATAAATGAATGGTAGCCTGTGCAAGAGAGAATCTTCCAGGCAGAATCAGACTTGGAATCTGAAGATTTGGGTAGGAATTTGTGAGAAGGTATTTTTGTCACCTCCCTCCTGTAGCCTTGAAATAGATTGATAGCTTTCAGCATTCAACAAGGCTGAGGATGACAAGGATTAAGTATTATGTGTCTTGCTTTGTCTCATGATAACTTTATGCCCTTTTATTGAGGTAACAGTAATTCCCTAAATAGAATTTTTGGTGAGCCTTTACAGAATGCACTAACATCATATATTGAAAGGAAATATTATGCTCCAGACTTATATCCCCAAATATCTACTTTGCTCTGTCCTTCTTCCAAGGATCTTAGGATGGTGTACATAATTTTCTTCTCTTCCTTTTTATCTCCACAGCAATTCTGAGAGGTAGGCTAGGCTGAGAGAGAGTGAGCAGCCTTAAGCTATGATTGCCATCTTCCCAGTGGGGGCGAGGGTACAGTTGACATCCCCGGTACATTGATGTCACTTCTGGCATGACCTGGAAGTAATAGCATAATGCTGGGTGTCATTCTAGCTTTCAACCAAAACGCTATGGCAGAAGCATAGAGTTTTAGGCGAATGCTAAAGTGGCACCCCTGGCACAGTGACATCACTCCTCTGGGGATGCCAGCCCCCCTCCATCTCCTGCTGGTTGCCAGACAGTGCTTGGCATCCTTAACCCAAGTTCACCCAGAGTGAGAGGTATTAATGTGGTCCTTCTTCCTGGTTCTAGTCTGACAGACTACCCACTGTGCATACACCGGTTTTCATCAAAGCTATTAGAAGCTGAACTAACCATCTGAAGATCTTAAGGGTTTTTAAATTTGTTGTTAAAATAGAACCAATTCCAGACTATGTTATTTAAATTAAAATAACACTGCTTACTCTCTTTCAAGATGATCCAGAAGGAGCCTTTGTACCACCAGAGATTGATGTAACTGGTAACACTTTTGAGGTAAGAATGAAGTTTTCTATAACAACTCAGACCCTATGTAATAACAAAAAATACATATTTAAAATGCTGAATACTTGGTGTGAACCAAAAAGTAAAAATGTCTGATATTTCCAGTGGATTTTGGCTATTGTTCTTCATCCTAAAAAAAAGTACAAGTGAGATAACAATGGTCATCCAGAAGTGGGGGGGGGAGAGATCACTATTTGGTTTGCCCTACCCACTGGCCATCCTAAATTATGGGGGGTTTTCCATTGGCCCTGACTTGTTCGTTCAGTGGCTAACTGTGGACTTTATAGCAAAATATAAAATTTGTTTGCTATCGGCTATAAAAATAATTCAGGGTGGGATAGTCAGCAATTTAATCTTCTAGTTTAATGAACAAACCAATGGATCTCTATAGTCTAGTGATTCACAAATGTTCTTCATTGTTGAATTAAATTACGGGCTTAATTGTTTACACTAATTCATTAGCCTCCCTGATCAGACATATCGTCGCCCTCTTGCAGCGTTTTCTTGTGCTAATTTCTGTTGAAAATCCTAGGCAGAGTATGAATGTTTTCTTTCTTCTGTTATAAATTAACCCCAAGTAGCCTAATTAGCAGTATGAGATTATGAACATCGATTTTCATACAGGCCTGTATGAAGCCTCTAAAATGAAAACTTTCATAATTTATCCAGCTTTTCCCCAAATGTGTTAATGAAGCTTAGGAACTGAGTATTTTAGATCAGCAGGCTGTATGTCTTTTTCATATTTCTTTTTAGCTTTGAAGATTTTGAATCCTACAGGCCAATTACCTCAGTCTCTATTAAATCTCTCATACAGCTTTATTGGTGGCAAAAGCGAGTTAGTCAGCTATACTTCCAGGTTTGGCACATGCCATTTGTTCTTATCTAGCTCATTTTGTAGAAGAGGAGGATATGGATATTCAATTCATTTGTAAGGATTTTTTCCAAAGAGTTTTTTTTTTAATGGGGGAAGACTATGAATCTTACTAAAATGAAAGATTTGTCTATGAAACCTCTCTGACTTTTTAAATGGGGCTGCTATATCTCAGGTTCACAAATCTTGCCAGCCTATAAGGTACATTAACATACACTACCAGTTGGGATTTACCTGATGCTGGTAAATAGCTTAAAAAGTTGGGGAAGGAGGCATAGATAGGCTGTCCAGATTTATGCCAGATTTTGCATATTAGACAACTTATTTGCTGCTTGTATAGATAACATTGTTTTCTGTACATTGTGCCAACTGTTTTTTTTTTTCTTTTGGGTTGAATGCAGCAAGTACCATCTTACCCCATTCTCTCCTGCCAGGAAAGATTGGTTGCCTGGTTCCCCCATTTTGCCTGTTTGTCCTTGAAAGCACAGCAGAGCAGGTTGGGGTTAGAATGTTCCAGGTTGACAGATCTTCCCTTTCTCCTACTCCAAGAACACATGACACTTTACCAATGCTTCTCAATGTAATGAGTATAGAACTTAGATGTTCTATGTTTGTGGAATGTTGGTAGGTTCCCCTCGCACTGTCACAACATTGGAACGCTAAGCAAAACACCCATACCTTGTATAGTTTTGCCTCAGTTAGAGGGAAATTTCATGTCAAAAGACTTAGATACAGCTCCAGTATTATGTGTAGCTACTTTAGGTAGGTAGGATAACAAAACCAACTCTGGAAAGAAGTTACTTGGTTGTATGGGGCTGGCATTATTTAGGTGCTGCAGTAAAATGAATAGTAAAATAGAAACACTGCATCCATTGAGATAAACGTTTACATATGTGTTGGATCCACCTATCTTCTTGCTCAGAGGTCATAAATCTTCCACACTTTCTATGATTCGCCTTCTCTCAGCGCACCTTTCCACCCTGGGAAAGTTGATATCTGGGGTTGTGGGTCCCACATGGAGTAATAGCCCGTGAGCATCTGTGGGCTGCCCTGAGAAGGGGAATGGGGCAAAATTGTTCTTTCCTGCCTGTTCTGTCAGCACACCTTGGTACGTCCTATTCTTATAGTGAAAATATTACTGTTTACCTATTGTTGAATATGCACAAAATTAGTCTTCACAATTCTGCAAAGAGGTAAGTAGCTTCAGAGCCAAAGTAGTATTAGCCTTACTCCTGCTGCCCATTTTCTTATTGAGAGAAAGCTTGCATTCAGAATGTCAGGCATGGTGGACGTGTTGGGGAGGGGACACTTTGTAACAAAAGCAAAATATTGGAAAAAGTGCAGCACCTCCTCTATCATTTCTTTACTTTCTGCCATCCAATCCCAATGTTGCTTCCTGATGGTGGAACAGTTCCATGTGGGAGTGTGTTCCATGTATTTAGGGTTACTTACTCATTCATTGGACAGTGTCATCGACGCAACGAACATGAAATTGAGCCAACTTCAGAGGACAGCGGAAGACAGGGGGGCCTGGCGGGATCTGGTCCATGGGGTCGCGAAGAGTTGGACTTGACTGTGCGACTGAACAACAACAACTCATTCATTAGATTCTGTCCGAATAGTATAACTGGTGTTCTGCCTTCAGATGCATGGCATAATGTGTGATGTGGATGACAGACACATGTGTAATCACATAGGCTGGATTTAAGTAATCCTTTGCCTTTTAAAAGAATGGTTTGTTTATACCTGCAGGCAGACTGTGGAGGCAATGCAATGCCCTCATCTGCTCTTTGCCTCACCAAGCATGGAAGATACCTTTTATTTTTTTGAATGAGTTTGTGAAACGACCCTTAATTAGATTTGCTCCCAGTGGTTCCATCCTTAAAGCATGCATTCATTATTAGTATACTGAGGATCTGGCGCAAGTGTTCCTTCAGTTGCACAGCGCTCCAATTGGCACCATTATGTTAGCAGCTGGACCTGACTTTAGAGTCATTACTGACACAGCACCAGCCATCAGCATCACTGTGCTGGGAAGAAATTTTTCCCAGTCGTGGTGGCAGTGTCACAGTGGCAGAGGATCAACGGAGCTGCTTCCGATAGCCCCGTTGTGAACAATCGTTCTGCGGTGATGGCTGCTGCAGATGCGCATTGATCTAGCACTATTGCCTGCGCCAGCTTCAGTGAACAGAATACTTCAAGCAGCAAAGGACAAAACAAGCTTAATGGTACCTCAACCGAAGTGCAGTCTGTGATGTTTATGCTGACTAAAACAATAGCTGCTTTTATGAATGTGGATGAGGCAGTTGGCAGGAGGATGAGCAATGGAAGAGAAATTCATAGCAGACTGAGCCTGACTCCATGGTCAGCTTGAGGAATCATGTTTTGTTTTATTTCTTGCAAGAAATGTGTATTGGAAGTGTTTGTGCATTGGAAGTGTTTGTTCAGTCATTACAGTGAACGTAACTTATCCTCACATAATCAAAATATCTTAGAGATTTTTTAAAAAAAATAATTGATGGTACATATTTTCTAAATTGATGAATGCCTCAACAGAGAGCTAGTTAAGAGAACTCCACGGTCTTCCATGCCTGACACCAGAACTGAGAAAATGAATTGTGCTCTTTTCTGAGCCTTTAGTATAAACACAAAGTTCATCATGTTGTTTGACTCTTAAACAGTAGCCTTCACTACCATTTCAAAACAGTCAGTACAGAAGCCCCTCTGGGCTCACTTGTCAGGAAGCTTGCTTTGCATTGACATTAAAACCTAATTCTGTCTCACTTCAGTGGATGCTCAATGAAATATATGAGCATATACTTTGATTATTTTTTGTTTTATTTACTCAGCAGGGATCATCTGCTCTTTTGGTGACATTTAATCTGATTGTCATTTATATATCTAAAGAAAGAAATAAAAACTCGTCTTTAAAGTGATTAACTGTGTACCCTGTGTGGTGTTTATCTCAGTTATAAGTCTGTTATCATATATATGGGCCATCTCATGGGCAGATAAAAGCCACACAATCTGGCCTTTTTGTTGCTGTCCTTAGTCAACCCTGGTGTCTTGCCAGTTTATCAACATGGGCAGTACTGCTATGCTGGCAACAACTTCCTTTGTCAAAGGAGGCATAGCAGCATAGCCCCAAAATTGTGGAATAGCACAGAACCTGGTGGAAATGGGTGTAATGCCGATGGGAGTGTGGATGGATCCTCTGCATTCTAAAGACAAATAATCTCGATCGGGGTGTCAAACATAAGGCCCAGGGGCCAGAACCCATCCAGGGCTCTTGTGCTGTCCACGAGCAACTGGTGCAAGGGAGGAAACAAAAGACTGTTCTGGGAGGGGAGTGGGTGCAGTCACTCTGATTGGGGATTCAGCATGGCTTCAACAACCTCATCTATAGCAGTCGAGCAGTGTGGGAGTGTCTGCCCAGTGCTGTACCGCTTATTCTCCAGTCCGCCCATGTGGGTTTTCCTCTCTACCCCTCCCAGCCCAAGGGGCCTTGCAGTAAGGATACATCAACTCGGAGCTTATGAGATGCTATCCTTTATACAGTTTATATCTCTGGTACCCAGGGCTTTTTTTGGGGGGAGGTGCTGGAACTCTCAAGAGGGAAATGAAGTTTTCAATCTGTATACTGAAAACTCATGAACCTTTAAACGTTCTTAAAAGAATTTTGTCGAAGAGGTTCCAGAACACTGTTCTGGCGCTTTCTTCTAGGAAAAAAGCCCTGCCAGTACCTGGCATTATGTTTTATGGCACACAGGGCCGGGCCCGACAAAATGACATTGCTGTCAGATCTGGCCCTCGTAACCAATGAGTTTGACACTTCTGATCTAGATATTCCTAATGTACTGTGGAACATGGAAACTCAGAAGGAAGTTTGGGGAGTCCAGAGAGCAAGCAGTGGGAAAAGCCTCTAGAGGTGTTTAGGAGGTATTTTTATTTATTTATTTATTGTTTCTATTTGTATCCCGCCTTGCCGGACACGCTGGGTCAAGGCGGCTAACAGGATTAAAATATCATAGAACAATACAGAGTTAAAAGAATTAAAAATACAATACAAGATTAAACAACATCAGTTAACAGATAAAAAAGACAAGCTAATGATGGCAGT